CCCCTACCGTCACAGTTCCAACACCCGAATGCATTCTGTGGTCTATTAATAGCTCCAATTTGGTGTTGGTTCGGTGGTCTAACGTAGCTGCGTTCATTGGGAGCAAGCTGGTTATCTTGGTTGACAGGTGTAGCTCTGTTGGTGAAGTTTCTTACTGGGTCTCTTGGAGTCGGACGGATTTCCTTTCGATGAAAAGATGGCAGGTTCTCAGGCTTAGACCACTTAGGGGACAATTCTTCGAGATATACACGATCATTCCAATCAACTTTACGTCTTTCTCTGGATTGGTAAGCTGTTTCTGGATTCAGGGCCTGGGCTGGGAAGGTGGTGGGCGATAGGTCATTTTGTCTCTTAGAACTGACTCGTATTCTTCTGCTTTTCTCAATAGGTCCGAAAGACCCGCAGTTTCGTGTCTTCGAATGTATAGTTTGTAGTTGGGCTTCAGGTTGTTATAAATTCGGTCCAGTCGAGTTGCGTTGTTGAATCCTCCTCTTCGTCGGATTAGCGTAGAGATAGCAACTACAAATTCTCGACAGGTCTCTCGCTCGCCTTGGGTTCTTTCTTGGATTTCCTTGTACAGGTTGTGGTAGTACCCAAAAGGTATAAACTGCTGTTCAAAATCCTGGCAAAAATCTTCAAGAGTTCTCCCCAAATCCCTATTGTTCCTCTACCATAACAAAGCTTGGCCTTTAAAAATTTCGGCAATGACCGTAGAATACGATTGGGGGGAATATCATAGGACTCGATGAGTTCATTCAATCTTTCCAAGAATGACATAGAATCATTTCTTCCATCGAACTTTAAATTCCATTGGCGGACTAGATTGCAGATTCCTGGTGTACTTAAATCAACTTCGTTGCTTTGACCCTGTTGACGTAGGTGATAATCGGGTGGAGAATTCCGTTCAGAGGGGACTTCTCTTCGTTGGTACAGGTCCTGGTGACGTTCGACATGTCGGCCTCCTGTAGGTTCGTGGTCTCAAAGTTTTGGTTGGGAGGAAATAATAGATTGGTGGTTTTTGGCCATAATCTTGCATCGGATGTTTGTCGATTCCCTTCGAGGAAGGAGGGATCAATTCAGTTTTACTCTTATCGGCTCTCATGAGTTCAATTAGTTTGTGTCTGAGGGTATTATTACTACCCTGGGGAGGTAATCCAACAATCTCTTTCAGGTTGTCTACTAGTATCCTATAGTCATCATCTCTGTTTGAGGATGTGCGAGATTGGGATGGAACTTTGGGAATAGTTCCAAGGAGGTTCGTGCTATGGGAAGGCCCTGAAGTGGTTTCTTCGATGTCTTTATAGTTTTCCCAGTCTTCCTCAGGAGTATCAACGGGGTTTCTTAAGTTGTCAACAAGCCTTTTTCTCAGTTCTTTTACGTTTCCCGAGTTTTCTATACCTCTAAGCAGGCACTCATCTTGTAGTTGTATTTTGTTAAGAGTGTAGATCCAACCAACACGTTCATCCTGATGTGGTGCCTTCTGTTGGAGGGTCGTGGTGCTAGATGACCATTCTTTATCTTTGGTTTTGTTTTTATATTCTTTCTTAGGTTTCTCTTTACCCAAAAATTGTACAATTCACCATAGTTATCCCACATCACCCAATCACAGCTTACTAAACATTACGTCGTCATCAGTCCTCAGTGAATGAAATCAGTTCTCAGTTAGTGAGTTATATCATAGCGCGCGCAGCGACAGCAGACAAAGGTGTAAAACGGAGCAGACGAATGTTAGCGCAAGCGATGACGTGACCTTTCCATTTAATTTGATAAGGAAACAAATTTTCCCAAAACAATAATTGGGTGGGGGATTTGTTATATCGAGGATAGACGTAGACAATTCGTTATGCAGAGGTTAAACTCGCAATGTAGAGGTTCTGACAATGATAAATTCGTTATATTGAGGTGTCTTACTTTAGCCGAAATCACGAAAAATTCGTTAAATCAAGATCGTTGTTATGGTTTGTTCGTTATGTAGAGGTAAAATATACATTGTGTCTTATGGAGAGTTGTAGGGGATTAAAAACAAATCGTTATATCAAGGAATTCATTATATCGAGGTTCGTTATATCAAGGTTAGACTGTAGAATAAAGAACACTCAAAAACCCAGTTTTGTGCGGTATTAGACTATTTTTTAAGTTTTACGATACAACAGTACAAGTCAAGTGATCAAATGAAACAAGTCAAGTCAAGTGAGGTGTAAATTAAATAATATCTGCTGTTCCTGGAATATTTCACACCTAATACCTATGGAAATATAAATCTGTGAAAATATTTAACACGTTCTAAATTGTACATACTATGTACAATTTTAAACTTTTATCCCACCATAATGGATTTACGCCCTTAGGATGGCTATTCTTAGTAAAGACAGTAAATGGTATCGGATTATTTCTAACAGAAATATACTTTGGTATTTGACAATTTGAAGAGAATAAGCACAAAGCTATTTATAGCTAAATAAAATGCAAATATTGCCTTTGATTATGGCATGGGTGACGTGTTGCGTAATACATGAAATAGAGTTTCGGCTGTTTGTGATTTTTGTATATACAAACATTAATGTAACTGCCATTTTGAAATTCGGGCTATATTTATGTTAACTTAATTATAAGTAGTGAGGTTTTTTATGTTATTGAATGTACATTATAACAAACCGAGAGGCCTGACTAATGTCATTAAAAGGAAGGTGGAACATTTTGTTGGTTTTGTAATTTAATTACTTTCTAATTTATATTGATGCTATTTGATATAGTCAGTAAGAACCTTCTATTTCTTTTTATTATTACTGTAAATTAAATGCTTCAATCTATATTTGACTATAAGTTTGCTTATTTATGGATATGTGTTGGTAAATGTATACTCGTACATATCATACGATACAATTAACATTGACAAAAAATATTTTTTTCCTTTCTTAAAGAGAATAAGCTTGGTCTGCAGGACTGCTGTGGCGGGAATATTTTGTTATTCTATTTAATAATCGTTTAATGGTATTAAGCTAATCGTTTTCATGGTTTTAGAGTGAAACAATATTTAGTTTTTGTTAAGAATAAAATTTGAATTAATGAGTTAATTCATTAGTCAGCTCCGGGCCAAAATTCTTGGGTTGCAAGCGCCACGGTAGAACATTGGTGGGTCGCATCCGGCACGGGTCGCTTCTGGCAAGAGATGACGATGGCCTACGACGAGTCCCAGGGATGTGGAGGTGAACCCCCGAACCCTCAGACCCTGAAGATGGTTTGATACCGTGGGGTGGACCTTCAGTACAGATACATTGACAAAGTAGCAACCTCCTTGTATGAAAAGGAACACAACCCAAGGGACAATGCATGGGAAAGAGAACAGGGGAAGAGTGAATACGAACATCAGAATGGAAAGAGTTGGGAGACAAATGGGAGGGACAGTAGTTGTCTTTATTTAAAACTCTAGATGCTGTTTTTGCCATGTTGTTCCAATTGGTTTGTTTAAATTTGTTTCCGAGTTGAATCGTTTGGGATCTGAAAGGGGATACACGTAAAAATAATAGCGGGGTTTAAACCGTAGCAAAGAATAATCCTCGGTATCCCAAAGACCTCACACGGCAAGATAAATCGATTACATTGACAAAGTGGTTTTAGTAATATTGACTATTAATATCGTTTGGGTGATAATTACATTGCCAAACCTGTAAACAGTAAGCAAAATAACTCATTTCCGCTTATTCTCACTAGCTTAATCAGATGATTTCACTGTTGGCATTTCTATAAACACTAACATATAGTAAGCAAATAAACAAATTAAACCACTTAAAAAAGCAAACATAACCTTGATAACATTTTACATTCAACCAAAACGTTCAAATTTGTGTTATGATAAGTAATAATAACATGTTTAAGTATGAGCATGGATAATAATGGAACATGAAGTCGACGAGCATGGATAATATATTATTACTATTATAATAATAGTTTTTTGGAAAATCTTGTGTATTACAAGAACAGTCATTTCCGCTCTCGGATCTACAGTTTTCGAGTGGCAATTGTGGAGTGATTGTGTGTAATAAATGAAAATAATGAGAGAAAAATTAATAAGTCATGTTAACAAGAAGAAACAGAATAGAATCATGTTTATTTGTACAATATAATGAATGATCTAAAAATCATCAGCTGTTATAATTAGTTTTAAACACCGATGACGCGTCGGTATGTTGTACACCATTGCACCAATAGAATGTGACCAAAAACTATGCACCCCCCCCCCAACCTGCTTTATTTTTGACTAAACAATTTCTTTTGCTAAATTTGTAAACCTGTTGTCTGTAAGGTGGTAACACCTACGTGTTGGATAATTACTATATTATTTAAGTTCGAATTGTATAGTTAGTGGATTTTTGTATTTCGTGTTATTGTTACGTATTTTTAATTAAGTGCTACGATGGAATTTATTGAGACTGTGAGGGGGAAGCCAAGTTTGCTTTTTAAGGGGCACTCTTATCGGAAATATCGAGAAAACAAACAAGGTGTAGTGACGTGGGTGTGCTCGAAGGAAAGATCCGCTAGATGCAAGGTCAGGTTAGTGACTCAAGACAATGTAGAAATTAGAGCGGTTGTCTACGATTGTGTGCCAGACGAAGCCTATCTTGACGTAAAAAAGGCGGTGTTTTCTGCAAAGAAAAGGGCTCGAGAGGACAGCGAGACGCCTATCCGGACGGTATTTTAGCACGAAGTAGAAGATTTACAAAACAAAGGATATGAACTTGTAACCAGCGTGCCACAGTTTTCAAAGGTAAAGAGTTGTTTATATGTAAATAGAAATAAAGCACAGGGACTTCAAAATTAGTTCTAGATGACGAATTTCTGAAGATGACAGATGGGAGCAGTTTTCTTTTAGCTGACGACGGAAATAAGGACAGGATTTTAATTTTTGCTGGCCGCAAAGCTGTGGATGCTATTCAACATAAGTGTTTTTTATGGACGGAACTTTTAAAAGTTGTAGCGGCTAATTCACTCAAATCTATATCATGCATGTTGACATGTTGGGTAGCAATGCGCAGGAAACCAATGTGACACCAGTGCTGTTTGCACTCCTCCCAGATAAAAAGAAAGCGACCTACGTTCGAATGTTCAGAATGATACTTGATCAAGTGCCAAGGTGGAATCCAGAACAAGTTATAATTGATTTTGAAATCAGCGTAGTTGACGCCCTGAAAGAAGTATTTCCATGTGTTAACATCCAGGGTTGCTACTTCCACTTCACCCAATGCTTGTGGCGGAAAGTTCAAGATGTAGGCCTTGCATCTCTATACTCAAGAGATGAGGAAATAAGAAGAACGATAAGAATGAGTGCTGCACTGGCTTTCTTGAAACCCGAAGATGTGGATGCAGGTTGGATTTTCGTCCAGGGACAGACACCATCGAGTGAGAAAGTGACAGAGTCTTTCGACTATTTTGTCGATCAATGGCTGGAAAATCCTGCTTTTCCAAGAGAGGTTATTTGTTTTAATTATTATGATTTAATTAATATATAGTGTAATATAAGGTTAAAATTTAGGGTTTAATATAACATATACTTACACATTGAAGACTAAATACCACCGCCGCAGCAAACCTGCAGACTAAGCGAATTTCCATTTGCCTGATTGGATTTACAATCAAATGTCTACTTAAAAATATAAAATTTATTTCCTATTTAAATAGAATTAGTTTAACAAGTACTTAGGTTTGCTGCATCAGGGAGGGCAAAACTGTTTTTTTTTTATGTTAATAGTTAAGTAAGAAATAAAAACATTTTCCAAATTTGATCAAAATATGTTCATAAACAAGTAAACTACAACAGTTGACTTATTCTCCATAAGAATAACATGGGAATTTAAAATTTACATTTTTTTGGAATTTTCTCCGTAACCATTAGGCGCATAATAACACTTCAATATACTAAATTATTTGTTTTTTTAAGCTCTACAAAATGGTTTGGAAAGAAATTGCAAAATTTTATGTTTTTTAGGTCAAAAATGGGAAAAACCTATTTTTACCCCATAAAACCCCCCGTAAACCCCCGTTGCCATAGTCCGATAATGCTGGTTCGCGAACTCGTTCAAGTTTATCCCGCCTTACACCTTCAAACCAAATTTTATCAAAATCTAACAAAGATTACTCAAGTTATCGTGCGGATGGACACACATATATATATATATATATATATATATATATATATATATCTATATATAGATATATAAAAATTTGAACGAATGGTGTTTTTGGCCTCTGGGGACATCAAAATGAAAAAGTAAATCGGTCCCGGGCCTAGGTCTTACCATGAGACCTACGGTAATAGCTACTTCCCTATAGGGAAATTCGCTAAAAGTAGAAAATAATTTGTAAATATGTGGAGAGAATAAGTACTTGTAAAATTTGAAACGAAAAACTGTAGGCGCATGCAATAGGTAATAACATTGACTATAGTCAATGGTAATAATAAAGAGGGGTATTCGTAAATTATCTATTTCATGTATTCCACGTTTAAGTTCTAAATCTTACAAGTATTTATTCTCTCCATATATTTACAAATTATTTTTTTAAAAATTCAGAAATTGGGGCTATCATCAACCTACAAGGATAACGAGTCAGAGGCAGAAAAATGGCTCCACTACCGCTTCGGCATGGCCTATCTACGCCCGGAAGATGTGGAGGACGTCTTTTGTGACCTCATCGCAATCCAACCACATGATCCAAAACTAACCAGCTTTGTGGATTACTTAACGGAAAATTATGTTGACCATGGTTCCTTCTTCCCACTGAAAATTTGGGCTAAAGATTCAGTGGAGCTGTGGCGTACTACAAACGCCTGGGAAAGTTACCATTCCAGGTTCCACCAACTCTGTAAGTCGCCACAACCCAATATATCTATTTTTGAAAAAAACGTTGAATCTTGTTCAAGTTGATTCATACCTAAGACAGAATTGTGCCTGCAAGCTGGAAACAACAAAAAGTAGGAAAAGCATGTTTGCGACAGGAGTTCTAAGTACAAAGCTGAGACAGTTAAAGAATGGACAGATCGACTTAATGACCTTTACGAAATGTGTTGGACACAGATCCTCACCTCACAAGTAAACAGACCATATATTTTAGAAATGTAAATATCCTTTAATCAAGTATATTATGATAATGTTTAACAGTGTATCTTTTAACAGTTAATTGTACTTTCCCCTTTGAAGACTCAAACGTCTGCCTGAGTTTTTGGACTCTTTTCATGTACGCCTGTGTAGATAAGCGTGGGGGTGAGGAGGAGGTTCTAGTGGTGGAAGGGGTTCTATTTTGCGGTCAGGTTTCGATTCCTAGAATACTTGACTATACTGAATGAATAGTGGTTCCATGTAGGGCCTACATAGAGCAACAACAGTTCTTGATTTTTTACAGGATGACGAGGTTTAGATCTTCATGAGAAGTTGTTGATGGAGCAGCTTTTACATCAACAGACAGATTTTTCTTCACTCGAAAATCATGTCTGATGATATTATAAAAGGCTGTTTATTCCAACAAACTAGTCAAGAAGGCTATACACATCGTTTACAATAAAGTTACATTCTCCTCTCGAGTCCGGGTTTTTCACATCAAGATATGCTTTGTCAGGCACACAATCGTGGACAACAGCTCTAATTTCAACTATGTCTTTAGTCACTATTCTGCCCTTGCGTCTGGTGGACCTTTCCTTTAAGCACTCCTACGCCAAAACACCTTGTTTATTTTCTTGATATATCCGATGAGAATAGCCTACCCATTATAATGCAAACTTAGCTTCCCCCTCACACTCACAGTTTCAATAAATTTTATCGTAACAGATTGTGAGAGTCAATCTATTGTAGCCATACCTTTAGTACTTTTTAAAATATTTAACTGTCGCAAAACATTTTCCACCCTGTATATAGTATAAATTTGTAATTGTATGGAGGGAAAGATAAAGAGTGGCCTGATATAACATGTCATATTAACTCCCGTGATCACGGTAACTTAATTGCATTATTGGTCATTATTATCGAATACTTATTCTCTTGTTTTGGGTTAAGATAGTACTAGTGTACCTGTTGCTCGAATTCGAGCAATTGCGAAGCATTACAGGCGATTTAAAAATTATGGCTCACAATCTACACAACAGTTAGATATAATCAAAATCTTTTGTAAATATCTTATCTTTTTTCAAAAAGCTGATCTAGTTTTTAGTGTTTTCTACATATTTTTCCCTCTCATAGCCGCATTAGGTTGTCTATGATAACGATTATAAATGAAAAAAAAAACATTATTTCTATTTCTTCTACTTGGTTGTGTTCTACGACTTTTTCTATGTTTCTATTGTTTGCAAATCGGTTATTTCAATGATAGCTCAAGAAATGTAGAACAGTGTTAATTCAGTTTTATTCTTAGTCTATATCAAATTGTCCAGGATTTCTCGCCCTTTTCCATTCTAATAATTACACCAACCCAAGTTTCGTCTACAGATGCAATATGCCAACGAATATCACGTATGTACAATCTCCAAGAAGTGGTAAAAAAGGCAGAAACCAACCCATACAATAGATATAAGTGAACTCCAAAAGAAATAATTTTAAGAGTTACTGTGATATAAGGATTTTCCACTGATTTGGTAATAGAACATTATATTGCAAAACATGACACGATGCAGAAGAAAATCCATTTTAAAATCAGAAAACTCCATTGCAAATACTGTACTTCATTTTGACAAATTCAATAAATCACAATTTAAATATTAACAGCGGTTTCATTAAAAAGTAGTGTAGAATTATGCATATGGTCGTAATGTAAACAAATCTGAAGAGGCAACTTTAAAGGCTTCTGGGGCAGAGCCCCAAGGGAATTTACCTCGTTCCTCTTTTAATGGCTTATCTACAGACCAAAACCTTTCTTTAGAGACCCCTACCAAGTTTTTACGCCCAGCCGTTCTCTCAAATTAGCTGTGACAAAAACCCTGTTTTCCTCCATAAGAATAACATGGGATGGGAATTCAAAGGCCACTGGGGCAGAGCCCCAAGGGAATTCAACATGTTTCTCTTTTGATGGCTCATCTACAGACCAAGACCAGACACCTCTACCGAGTTTCTACGCCCAGCCGTTCTCTCAAAATAGCTGTGACAAAGAAAAGCAGTTTCAAATTAATATATAGATTCCCGTGTTCGGTTATTTCACGATATTCCTCAACCGAGCCAATACAAATGAAAGCTCAAATTGTTATCATTATTACAAAAACAGCATTTGCACCAACACTTTTTACAACAACAAATCGAATGATTAGTGTTTTGACGGGAGACATTTAATTATAATTATATTAATAAATAATTTATATTTTGGCTAAATTTTATTAAGTTTAAAAAAAAGAATTACATTTCTATGCGCTCTGAAAAACAAGTACATAATATTCTGCGAAATGATTTTCAAGCACATCTAAAGACTTATAAGCGGAATATTATACATTTCGCACTGGGATTTTGATTATTGTCCCTTGCATATTTTTCACTAATGTTTAACTCATACCTTATTGTATCGTGTATGGATTACGTGATACTAATGGAAGGTTAAGAAAACTCAACCCTTAAATACTATGAATTTAACTTGTAATATGACTTGGAAGCAAATTGTTTTGTTTAAATAACCTAATTTAAATGTTAAGTAATATTAATAAAAAAATAACACAATTTTTATTTTCAAATTTTACTTTTAATATATAATTTAAATTACAAAAGATTTTAATTTTCTGATATAGGCCTAACTACAGCAAAATATCCTATATTTTTTAAAACATTTTTTTTCGAGTTCGTTTGGCTCTTCTACCCGACCGATTTTCATGATTGAGGTCTCAAGTTAAAGTTATGCACTCACAGACTTCACATCAAGCATCAGTATATATGCGATATATTTAACTATATTTATATTTATTTAAGAAGGCTTCTTGATTTTCTATTTAAAAAAACCTTGTATGTAAGGAACAATTTGGATTTGTACAGGGGAAAGGTATGATTGATGCCACCGTTGACTTAATTACCAAAATAATTAGTGCTGTAAATAATAAAAACAAAGCTATCGGGGTATTTTTGGATTTTCAGAAGGCATTTGATTGCTTGGACCACAGTGTAATTTTTGAGAGGCTTTATAATCTGGGAATCCGAGGCCTGCCCCTTGACTGGATAAAGTCTTATTTCCTGCAAAGAACTCAAAGTGTAAAGGTTAACGATTGTGTACATTCAAATAAGCTATAAGTGAATTTCGGAATTCCCCAGGGCTCAGTTTTAGGGCCTATTTTGTACATTTTATATACAAATAGTATAACTAAGACCCTCCCTAACTTAAACGTAACTATGTACAATGACGATGTAGCTCTTGTTTGAAAATAAATCATTAGATAACCTAGAAATTGATAGCTTTGTAAAACTGACAAACCTTTATCAATACTTTAATAGCAATAATTTACACGTATATCCAAGCAAATCAAGCTGTATACATTTTTCAAAAGCCAACCATTCTGAGGCCAGCCCAGTAATGTTTATAAACGAATTTGAGTTACCCTTAGAAACAGAAGTTAAATATCTAGGATTGATTTTTGATAACACTTTTTCTTGGACACCTCACATCGATGCGCTGTGTTCCAAGCTATCGTTTCAATTATTTTTAATGAACAGATTGAGCCGTGACATGTTAGTCAGAAGCGAAATTCAAAATTAAGTTAAAAGAATACCTTTTAGAACGTGCATGTTACTCTGTTACTGATTTTTTTTTACAGCCCAATTTATAAGTCCACCTGCTCTGTATTTATTAATTTGATGTGTTATGAGTGTTATAGTACCAGTTTTGTACTTTCATTAGCATTATTTTATTGTTTATATTTAGAAGTATTTTAAGTTGACGCTTGTAATGCAATGTATATTGCCTGACTTCAATAAAAGATCTGATTGATCTACTGTGTTAGTCGACCAAATAAACATAAATTTGATTTATTTTCGGATTATTACTTCAATTTAAGGTTTATTTCACCAGTTATAATTATATAATCCTATATATTATGGTGTAATAACCTTCAGTGAAATACCGGCTTTCATTTGAGCTATTAGTAATTCAAATCGGACCAGTTTCAAGCAAACGTAAGGTGAAAAAAACATAGGTGAACAACCAACATAAATTTTTTTTATAAGGGTTTTCTATGATTGAAAATCAATACATCCAGCATTGTTTAAGTTTTTTATATGTTTTAGACTCAAAATAATCAGTAAATTATAGACTTTATTTTGAGCTATTGATATATTGAATCCGTTAAGTTCAAGATACTGTATAACCCAATCAAAATAATAGATTTGAATGTTTCTTGGATATTACATTAATTTTTACGCTGCGGAGCAGCATGGGTCTTCAAGTTTGTAACAAGTTTTTTTTTTCCTAGGGGGGTAAATATTTGCTATTTGGCCACGCACCTATTGTTGGCATCAACAAGCGGCTAGCACCCTTTGACCCGGCTTATCAGTTCGGAAAAGCCTCGGGTTCCTAGATTCTCAGGATAGCCTATGACGGGCATTCGAGTCGTGGATTTGGGGCAGTGAGCTGGTGTCCTGTGGAGACGTTGAGTGTACGTGGACATCAGTGTCGTTGATGGTGTGGTTATACTGATTACTGGTATGCAGTGAGTGTTGTTGTGTGCGTTGGGTAGAGACCCGCTAGTGGTGAGTGGACGACGTTCTTTTAGTTTTGGTTTAAGATTTGATCTTTAATATTTTGATAATATTCGTCTTACATTTTATTGGTCGAGTTGTAACCGTGCTGGTATAATCCTGTTACAGTAGCTAGGATTAACAGGAGTCAGGAATAATACTATGCGTATATTCCTGACGGTTCTGGGCAAGCTCTACAGCGCAAATAATATATCTTATCGACTCCAGTAGATATTGTTTTGAGTTGTGTCAAGAGTTAAATATATTAACGGTACCTCTGAGGCCTAACAACCCTATTCTACAGGATTTGGCGTACGTAGTTGGAAGCACGCGGCCAGTAGGCTAGTAGCTAATTTTATTAGCCTATTAGCAGAAGCCCAGCTAACTAATATAACGTTGATAGTAGCAGCAGTAGTAGTAGTAGTAGGATTTTTATTGGTTAATCATTTTATGTTTTTAATTTAACTTGAACAGCTTGTTTGTTGATCCAACACGGTATCTCGGTAGCTTGGATATCGTAGTACCGGCTATCAGATATATTTATTTAGTGTACGAGCACGCGCTGAAACAGCACAATTCCCAATCGTTGCGTCTCCCGAGCGATGAGTCTCCCGAGCGCCGAAGGCAAAAGAGTATCCCGAGCGCCGAGGCCATAAATTACCAAAAGGGTCTGCTCAGTGATGCAGAAGTGACGAAGGTTAATATACGTTTTCTTTTAATATGCCGGTTAGAATCATTTTAATCCGTGAAGCAGTCAATGTTTATCATAATAATTTTATTAAACTCAAAATACAATTTCACTAGGTATGAGAACAGTTTCAATAGTGCAGCAGTGCACGGACATAGTTTTGATATTATTCATTTCTATTTTCATCATATTATACCTTATTTACAGCTGTTGCGTGGTTGTAATAGTATAATTTAAAGGACAATAACAGGACAAAACACACTGAAACTGGCTTTAGTACAACACAGGAGTGCAATGACGCATGGAATGAGGTTGGGTCAAATATCCCTAACATTTGTTTAGGGAAGCCAGACCCCTTAAACATGGTAACAAAATGAAAAATTTGCCATTTGGAGTGGAAAGTTTGTGTTAAAAGGTTCAGTGACAAGTTGCAATGGAACTAGCTGAAACCTATAAGGGTAATTCGGGTTTACTCATGGGTGGGTACTCATGCAGAAAAAAGAGCTGCAAGAAGGACGATAGTGTTGTGTGGCAGTGTATGAAAGAAAAAAGATGGTGTAAGGGGAAACTTGTGATTCAACATGAAGAATTGAGAAGTGAAGTACAGCATACGTGTGTGCCGGATGAAGCCGCGGGTGATGTGTGGATTCATTCATATGTTTTTTTGTTGGTAATCATGTTAAATATAAATTTTAATTGTTTAATTGTTTTTTCTAGCTTACACTGTTTTGATATTACAGATATAGCATGTCCTACATGATATTGTTGTAAGTGAAAATGCTGCTTTTATCATTGCTTACATCGCCTTAATTGATTTATTCTAAAAATATATTTACATGTTTTTTATTAGTCGTATTTATGTTAAATAAAAAATCACAAGCTATAATGATTTGTATTTTTTACTATTGTTATACAGGGTGTTTTTGTTACTCATCCCATACTCAGTGTCAGTAAAATAGAATACTTTGTTCATATAAATAATGTTCATATATATAAACGTATAATCTGTACTCAGGAACACTAAATTAGGCGGGCGAGTGAGTTAGCTTTTTGGTGCAGATTTAATAACATTGAAATACTAGTGAGAGAGGTGAGTACCTGATTAGTTTTTACATAATAAAATAGGAAAATTAAAAATAAATACAATTGGAATTTGGATTGAAAACTCAAATTAGGCCTATTGCATATTTTATTCAAATTATAGGTTTGGATATTTTTTCCTATTTTAATATTTTATCAAACGCCAAACTTATAGGTTCTCGCCTCTTTCACATGTCAGTCTAAGTGATTAGATCTGTACATTTTTAGAGTTTAAAGTGTTGTCACTTGCTTAATTTCCTGCCCCCGAGAATAATGAATATATTTTGTTAGTTTAACTTTTTTACAAAACAGTTCTTTAATTGGTTTAAAGTGTGTATACATTTTCCAACATTTGTTGTTCATAATTTTGTTTATGATTAAAGTTAAAAAAAAACCAGAAGGCCGCTTTTTATATTACTGGACTTGATTTGTAATGTTAAACCGTAGACAAAGTATACCCAAAGACAAAGTAGAATGGTCTATTGTCTGTGGTTAAACCAAATCATTCTAGTAAGATAAAAGTGGCTAAATTCAATATTGACTGCTGATCCAAGCCTACCCGCCTACAATGCTTAATTGGGCACACGACTTTACTGCGGTCCGTTGCTATTGTTAATTCCAATTCGACCGTAAAAACTGTCAGATTATGCCAGGTAACCCGTTCGGCGCTCGGGAGACGCGGCGCTTGGGAGACGGAATCACACCAATGGTTAGCTGGCCCCGTAATCCGAAGGTCGAAAAAGGTAAGGTCAATAAAACTACTCCACACACATAGTTATCCGTACCGTGCTTTTTACCAACTTAACAAAACATCAGTCTCTCCTGATTGTTCATATGGCGCGGTTATATGTTCTTAAAGTGTGTGGCTGTTATTAGTTATTTATTTGGCTATTGGTTTCTGTTCATAGAAATGTTCATGAAATCGATAACAGAGACGCTCTTGCCAAATTTGGAACCAAACAGTGTATTGGTGGTGGTCACGCACCATACCACAATGTATTAGTAGACAAAGCACCAACTAGCAAAAGCAAAAAACAAGATATGAAAGACTGATCGTCCTATGTCCCTTGTTTCAACCTTTTCAAAGATATTTGAAAAGATTTTTTTTCTAGACTGATATATTTTATTGATAAACACAATATTCTTTCCCCGAATCAATTTGGCATCACAAAAAATAGAAGTACAGTCGATGCCATTCACTTTCTAGTCTCATCTTTGACTCAATCCCATGATTCAGGAACGGCTGCAGCTGGACTCTTCTTCGATCTCAGTTAAGCCTTCGATACGGTAGATCAAGGCTTATTATTAGACAAACTTTGCTCACTCGGGATAAGAGGTGTGGCTCACTCCTGGATAGAATCTGTAACGGGTCAAATGGGTAGGGGGGTAAAATAACGATTTAAACCACGAAGTGTTAGTGGTTTAAACCACTACCTTGTGGTAGTGTCAACGTCTTTTGATGAGCATCTAGAACTTCTGGGGGTTGTTTTTCGCCGCCTACGCGAGGCAGGCCTTCGGTTAAACCCCGAGAAGTGTCACTTCGCCCGTAGGGAGCTGAAGTAATTGGGACACATCGTGAGCCAAGATGGAATCGCCACGGATCCTGAGAAGGTCCGCGCCATTCAGGATTTCCCCGCACCCACGAACGTCAAGGGACTTCGCAGTTTCCTAGGACTTGCGTCGTGGTATCGGCGATTCGTCGAGAAGTTCGCTTTAGTAACCATTCCGCTTCGAGGTTTGCTGAAGAAGAACGCCAAGTGGCTCTGGGGACCCGAACAAACTAAGGCATTCGAAGCTCTGAAACATGCCTTTGTGACAGCCCCGATTCTCGCCTGTCCCGACTTGAGCCAACCCTTCGTGCTCCAGGTCGACGCCTCGAATTATGGCCTGGGAGCAGCGCTAACTCAGAGTGTAAACGACCGAGAAGTGGTCGTGGCGTATGCCAGTAGGCTACTCTCTGAGGCCGAACAAAACTACACGACCACTGAGAAGGAGTGTCTCGCTCTCGTATGGGCTGTTCGGAAATTCAAGGCTTATCTCGAAGGCTACCACTTCATCGCGATAACCGACCATGTCGCCCTAAAATGGCTGCTTAAGCTCAGTGAGCCTAGTGGGTGCCTGGCTCGGTGGGTTATGGAGTTACAGCAATTCGACTTCGAGATAAGGTACCGCAAGGGGACATCGAACAGAGTGGCAGACGCCCTGTCTCGTCAGCTGGTCCCTGAAGGGCCCAGCTCGTCTGGTGAACCCGATCAACCTACGTTTGAGGTCGGAGTTTTAACCAGACGCGGTGCTAGGGAACAGTTGCGGTTACAACGCCTAACCAAGGTTGAAGGTGACGAACTTTCACTCGGCGATGATCCGGCAGGTGACGTTATCGACGACGAAGCTTCTGGTCCGACGCAGCCGGAGACTGATGACCCATCATCCGACGAGGACAACGATAGTAACCCGCCGGGCAGCAATGGTGCTTGGTATGACCGCCTTCGCAATCTGGTCAGCAAACACCTTGGGCGATACTCGAGATACCAGCTTCACGACGGTAAGCTGTACCGTGCTGTCCCGAGGAAGGATCGACCTACGGCATGGAGGGTGTGTGTGCCAAGCGACCAAGTATCCGGGGTACTGCACGAAAACCACGACACGGCTACGGCAGGACATCTTGGGGTGAAAAAGACGTTAGCCCGAGTTGGTGGGGAGTACTTCTGGCCTAACTGGCGTCGTGAGGTGAAGGCCTATGTACGGTCTTGCGCCCAATGCCAGGCCTATAAAGTACCCCAAACGAAACCAGCTGGGAAGATGTAATTCCGACAACCCCAAGGACCGTGGTACGCAGTGTCTGCTGACCTGGTAGGCCCATTGCCTAGATCGCAACGGGGTCAGCGATTTCTGCTCGTGCTGCAGGATACCTTCAGCAAATGGACGGAACTCGCCTCCATTGCGTCTGCAACCGCAAAGAATGTGGTGACGAAGCTGAAGGCTATCCTACTTCGACATGGAGCTCCGGATGTGTTGATTACGGACAACGGCACGCAGTTCGTCGGTAAACTGGTTCGAGAACTGGCTGCTGAGTGGGGCATCACGCTACAGACGACGGCCCCCTACAGCCCACAGTCAAACCCAGTCGAGAGGCAAAACCGGGTGGTGAAGACTATGATTGCGCAGTTCGTGAAAGGCAACCATAGATCTTGGGACAACCACCTGGTGGAGTTTCAGTACGCCCTCAACACAGCTGTCCACGACTCTACTGGATTCACTCCTGTGATGCTGTGTTTTAGACGCGAACTGAAGCCTCCTTGTGCCGTCCGTGGCCCCTTGTTTGAGGTGTCTGAGACTCCCCACGGTCCCACGTTGAGTGAGGCCCACCGTAAACGATTGGAGGAGTTTCAGCGTCTGATCACGCAGACACGCAAGAACCTCAAGGCCGCCTACGAAAGGCAATCAACGTATTATAACCTCCGTCGTAGGGAGGTGACGCACGAAGTCTGCGCGCAGGTGATGCGAAGACTCCACGTATTGTCTTCAGCCATTGTCGGGAAGTTAGCGCCGAAATATCGCGGCCCCTGCACAGTTGTGGGCTGTCGTGGCGCTAACCTTTACGAGGTGCGTGATGAGGACTCCGCGGCGGTGCATGTTGTCCACGCAAAAGACCTGAAACCTTTCTGTGCGCGCGTTTAGGTGGTGGGGCCTAGTTGTAGCTACTATCTAAAACTTTAGTGACGCTTTACCTTCCTTTCATACACTAATATAGCCTACCTTGTTCCTTAACTAATTTTCCCTTGTAGCTTGTAGTACTTGTACCTAGATTGTAGCACCTGTACCTAGCTTGTAGTACCTAGCTTGCATGGTCCCGCTTAGTGCTCGTTCTGTTGGGTAGGTACGATGTCATCCGGTCCCCGCCCATCGACGCCGAGCCGAGACATCCTCGACCCCGAGGACATGGAGCTGGACCAGGAGATCGGGGACTTCCTGGTGGCCAACTGGGTTTGGCCTTTCCGGGTGGACCCCGGGGACGTCCTCGAGCTGGAATGCTCCGACCACGAGGAGGGGGAGGTCCCGGCCCGACCATCACCACAGGCAGCGGAGCAGTCTCCTCAGCCCGACCGACCGACCTCGCCGACGGTGGATCCCCAGCCGGCCGTCGTCCCTCTGCTGGCCGCGTCACCTCCACGCCGAGTTAGGTTCGCTTCGCCAATCGCCGCCTCGGCGGCGGATCCAGTTTTCTCCGCCCCGACCTCGCAACAGCCCCGCCTCTCCACCCCGTCATCATCGCCGCCCCGCTTCTCCGCCTCGTCATCATCGCCGCACCGCCTCTCCGCCCCGTCATCATCGCCGCCTCGCCTCTCCGCCTCGTCTTCATCGCCGCCCCGCCTCCCCACCCCGTCATCATCGCCGACCCACCTCTCCGCCCCGTTATCCTCACCGTCCCGCCTCTCCGCCTCTCCGCCCCTTCGTCGCTGCCGTCCCGTCTCTCCGACCCGTCATCGCCGCCGTCCCGCCTCGCCACCCAGTCACCATCCTGGCCCCGCCGCACCGCCTCGCCCACGTCTTGTTTTGCCGTCTCATCGCCTGCACGAGCGTCACCGTCACGACTCCCCTCCTCGCCGCCCACGACTGGGAGAAGCACCAGCAGGAGCCGAAGCAGGCCGAGCGCGCCGCAGACCGTCACCCATCATCTGGGAACCGGCTCGACCGAGTGGCCTGGCCCGAGCCCCTGTTTGCCGGACGGAGCCCTAAGAGACGGTCACGGGGAACGACCTTCCGCTGTCCCGGGCTCTCCTACTACGGCTGGTAGCCGCCTACAACCGGCTCACACCGGAGCAGAGGCGGAAAAAGCGCTGGAGGATTATGCTGGGAGGCGACCGATACGTGCGACTGCGACCGAGCCAGGTGCTGTGAGTCGTCCGAGGCCGACTGCCGGAGCTGAGGCGACGCTTCCAGCAGCAAGGAGTCAATCGACCCCGCTAAACTGTCCTGTGCAGTTGTAGGGGCCGGCGACTCCTAATAACCACCTAGGAGGTGGTGCTAACAGACCCCACGGAATAACCCCTGCCAGGGGTGATGGATTCGTACTACCCTACCTTCGTCAACCCCACCATATTCGGGTTTTCTTCGCCCCGTGTCATTTTCGTCTAGACCTCTGAGGCAACTAGGCCTCAGACTGTCTACCTCATTTCTAATTCCGTCCGCTTTTCGTCGTCAACATCCTTAACCACGATCCTACTGAGGTGTCAACAGTTTTTTTTCTTTTTCTTATTTTTCTTTTTTTTCGTTCCGAAGTGTGGAGGGGGTGTAACGGGTCAAATGGGTAGGGGGGTAAAAATAACGATTTAAACCACGAAGTTTAAACAGCTAATCATAAGCTGTTGAGTAGGCCTAGTCGTGGCACTAACGTAACCGTTGCAACTTAACCTCAACGTCGTTACCTAACCTCGAAACGAAACCGAGGTGACAGATGCACCGGCAGACGACTGGGAGAGAGGAGGTAAAAACCGCTGCACTGTTTTTCGGGGAGCGTCGTCTGCTCCAGTTTTACTTATCTGCCTTACTTCTTCATCTTCCTTCCCACTTTACTTCTTCTTGCTCTAGTTCTTCTTACGCCTTCCCTCAAGCATCAAGCTTCGTTTTCGGTTTTTTTTTTTTTTGTAACCTCTGACCAATCAGAGGTGAGCTTGAGGGGATTGAGGGGATTTTCGAGGGGGAAGAAGAAGGTGGGCATTCTAACTCCGACCGGCTTCCCTTCGAGTGGAGAATATTCGTCTGATTTTGCTTCTCGTGCATTAGTGATAGTGTTGGTGTTGAGTTTTCGTTTGGAGTGTTTCGTACTTATAGTTTGGATCTTCGATTGGTGAGTGTTACCATAATACTCAACTGGCGTTATTGGGGTTAGTCCTCAAATTGTGATAATTCGATATTCCTAGCCAGCTTTTACAGGCTAGGCCTGACTATTCTGCCATAGTTATACAGCTTAACCAACTCCTTTTTTCCTTTACTATTTCAGTTGGTGACGTATCACTTAATTAACGTATATCGCCCGTATTGGGACTTCCCTTTTTAGGTCTTTAACCCTTTTAAAAGTACCTTCACGTCCCAAAGTTCGTCGCAGGAGACAGGTCTCTGCTGGACCAAGTTTGTCTAGGTTTGCTTAAGTCGACCACGTGAGAAAGCAGAAGTGGTATTTTTTTCGTTTTGGCTCAAAGAACAGTTTTACCTTTTAGTTTCGTTTTTTTTTTGTTTGTTCCTCACCTGGACCACTTAGGCTAACTTGTTTTCTTTTCGTTTAATAAATTCGGACTCTGTGGGAATTAGGCTAGGTTAGGCCTATCTTGTACTAACCTTGTTTGTTGCAGGTGGACGACTTAACTCCGTAGGGTAAGTGGGGTGACTACTTAGCTTACTTGTTCTCTCGTTAAGTTAGCTAGTAGTGTGTTATTTAGATAATTGCCCACAGAGTCAAGTCAAGATTATTAATTTCCCCACAAGCCCTAGTAGTCCAGGACCTGACTAGGGTTCTGTGTGCATGTCGTGTATAGAGAATTTTGCTTTTGCATTTCAATATAGGTGTCTTAGGAAGTGTTTTCCACTCGGGTGTCAAGTTCGCACCTGGTACGTTTTCGAGCTATGACGTCATCAAAATGGCGGCCATTGATTTTTTTAAATCGTATATTTCGCAAACTATTTGTCGGATCGGAATGAACTTTTTTTTGTTTGAAAGATAAGTTTACATGCTATCTTTCTTACTTTTGCACTTTTGTTTTATGTTTAGTACATTTTTCGTAATTTTGCAAAAACCTATATTTTTAAACATTTTTGTGTTGTTTTTGTCGATAACGTTTTATTGATACAATATATCAGAAATAACATAAAGACAAAGTTGTAGCACGTTAAAAGAGCTTTACAAAAATACCAAATTCGATATGCTTTACTCAAAAGATCACGTCAAGAAACTATAAAATCGTACAAAACAACCTAATTTTGCGCAAAAACGCATATAAATCCGACATCGATGGCTGTGTACGAGTCATATATAGACAGTTTTACCATTCAATGTTGATGTATGTGTCTAAAGAAGTGTTTTTAACATTAAATTAACAACTCAAACAATGTTAATTTAATAGATTAATTGAAAATCAATCCAGGCAAATGGAAATTCGCTTAGTCAACAGGATTGCTGCACCGGGGGTATTTATATAGTGGAAACATTCCTATGGACTAATTACATTGATTTTTTGTGCTTTTATTTGCATAAAAGAGGGTAATGGTCTTATTTTAAGTAAAATAGCTGGTGAAATCGTAACATGTAGCAATTTTAAAGACATCATAACCGGAAACTGCAGTGGGTCCAGAAGTGACACCCGAGTTAAAAACACTTCTTTAGACACATACATCAACATTGAATGGTAAAACTGTCTATATATGACTCGTACACAGCCATCGATGTCGGATTTATATGCGTTTTTGCGCAAAATTAGGTTGTTTTGTACGATTTTATAGTTTCTTGACGTGATCTTTTGAGTAAAGCATATCGAATTTGGTATTTTTGTAAAGCTATTTTAACGTGCTACAACTTTGTCTTTAAGTTATTTCTGATATATTGTATCAATAAAACGTTATCGACAAAAATAACGCAAAAATGTTTAAAAATATAGGTTTTTGCAAAATTACGAAAAATGTACTTAACATAAAACAAAAGTGCAAAAGTAAGAAAGATAGCATGTAAACTTATCTTTCAAACAAAAAAAGTTCATTCCGATCCGATACATGGTATGTAAAATATCGTTATTTTTAATATAGCCCTTTCCGCCATTTTAATGACGTCATAACAGGAAACTGCAGTGGGTGCAGACGTGACACCCGAGTTTAAAACACTTATTTAGACACATACATCAACATTGAATGGCGAAACTGTCTTTATAAGACTTGCGAACTGCCCTAGATGCCGGACTAATAGGCGTTTTTGCGCCAAAATTGGTGTTTTTATGAGATTTATCTAGTTTCTTGACGTAATCTTTTGAGTAAAACATATCGAATTTGGTATTTTTGTAAAGGTTTTTAAACGTTCTACAACTTTTTTCATTGGTGGTTTTTGATAAATTGTATCAATAAAACGTTACAAACAAAAATAACTCATAAATATTTAAAAATACAGGTTTTTGCAAAATTACGAAGAATGTACTAAACATACAACAAATGTGTAAATGTAAAACAGGTAGCATTTAAAATTATCTTTCAAACAAAAAAAGTTCATTCCGATCCGACAAATAGTTTGTGAAATATACGATTTAAAAAAATCAATGGCCACCATTTTGATGACGTCATAGCTCGAAAACGTACCAGGTGCGAACTTGACACCCGAGTGGAAAACACTTCCTAAGACACCTATATTGAAATGCAAAAGCAAAATTCTCTATACACGACATGCACACAGAACCCTAGTCAGGTCCTGGACTATAGGCTAGAGTGGTGATTTCGAGTTGGGTGTTTGGGTAACCCGCAACGTTCGCCCCAAAATCTGTTAACCAGGGCTATCAAGTTTAGGCTATCCGAATCACTATCGAATCCTGGGAAAATTCCCCGCGACCAGACTAGGGTAAATCCTGGGATCTCGTTTTTCTTATCGGTGGCGTAATTTCCCACTTGTCGCCCGCCAGGAAAATTACGTCACAAATCTTATCTGACCGGCAGAACTCAGGCAGTTCAAATTCCTTTCATTGCTGACAACAACTGTTCAAAGTCTGCATTTTCACCTCCCCTGGCAATCACTGCAGGGGTTCCTCAGGGTTCGGTGCTTGGTCCGGTCTTATTCATCCTTTTTATTAATGACCTGCCCAGTTGTGTGCCTGAGTCTGAGGGTAGGGTATGTTTGTTTGCTGATGACACCTCATTGTCGTTGTCTGCAGCATGCATGCGCGACCTCGGAAGGAAAGCAATTGGTCAGATCAGCTCAATATTACATTGCTTTAGCTGCAATATCTTGTTTGTAAACAGTGCCAAAACTCAAAAATGATCAAAATAAAGATGCTTGAGTTTGAGTTCTGACTTTCTTAGCACAATATTCTTTCAGTGAAGAAATGTTTGTGCCTAAGCTATAAGTTAATCACTCTACACAAATCTTAGTTTTTTCGTTATGTCCTATAATACTGTACTGTATATAATGAAATGAAATGAAATTTGTTTATACTGTACTAGCTTAGAACTTGGGGAAACTTTTCTTTTCCATACTTTAGGTACGGCCATTTTATGTTTATTTTTTTGCCAAACAATCAATTGGGGACCGGGGAATTTTAACTCACGAAACATGGTAAACTATAGGTGAAAACAGTAATCGAAGAAAAATTTAATGTATGAAATTACATGAGTTTATGTACAAGATATAGCTTTAGCTATAAGTGATAATTTTAGGTACAGACATAATTGGTTTACAAATAATAAAACTAGTTTTTTTTTTATTCAATAAGAACAACAATGACATGGTAGCAGTTTGAAAATTTAAAAAATTCTTCCACATGTCTGAGTGGTGTCATAAGTTCGGAGGGTAGGCCAATCACTTATAAGGCTGTGTCACACTAGGCTACTTTACTAGCCGCTAGCGAAATAGCGGCTACTCATAGCCAATCTGACATAGGCAGTAGCGGCTGGTAGGAGTAGCGCGCTAGTCTCATTTCACTAGCGTCGAGAATTGAACATGTCCAATTTTCCGAGCTACTAACTAGCGGCTAGTGAGTCACGTGATTGAC